TGAGGAGCACCAGCTCCACCTGCAGACCTTGTCTTCCCACTTCCCACCCATCGTCCCCACTCCAATGACAAACCCTTCTGCTGCACATTAAAAGGTGCATCTAGAAGGTGACCCCCTCACTGGAGCAGCACCTTCTCCTCCTGCCTGCTCACTCCTGGGGGATGGGGAGGAGCAGTAGGACGAGCCCTGCAGCTGCTTTCCTCCCTGCTCCAAAGGGGCTTGCAGCGGGGCCTGGGGGGGATGTGTGACCGAGTCCCACCTCCCGTGTGACAAACTGAATCTCTTCATCAAGAGCTTGGAGGTTGAGATTTGAATCCAGCCCTGGGGACAAAGTGATGCCTCTTCTGCACTGGGAGGGGGCTGGTGGCTTGACGCTTCGGGTTTCTTCACCTTGAACCTTTCACAGGGAGCCTGGGGCTGGCCTCTTCCTCCACGTTGTGCTCCGGAGGGTTCTTTGGGACCAGCCTCTGTGATGGCCGGAGCTGCGTGGAGGACGGAGGCATCACCTGTGGTGAGTGGGGCAGACAGAAGGCCATGCGCTGCTGCCTCTGCTGCCATCCTCCTCTTCTGCACCCCTGGAGAAGCACTGGGCTGGATGAGAATTTGGGATGAGGTTGGGAGGAACTGTGCTGTGCCTGGGGCCTGAGGGAAGAGCTGGCAGCTCCAGCAGGAACAGGCAGGGCAAAGTGATGGAGAAGGGATGGATGCAGTGGGTTAGCAGGGCTGGGAGTGCCTGGGGAGCCCCAGAAAATAGGCAAGGAGCCCCGTGGGGCTGGAGGGGTGCTCATGGGGAGCCCTGGCTCAGCTCCAGCCCCTCTCCAAGGATTGTATGGCTGGAGGCTCTGCAGGGCAGTTCACTGTGGGCAGCTCTGGGCCTTGCCCTGCTCACAGCTCCTGCTTCTGCCCCCAACTTCTTTATTGTCCATCCTCCAGCCCCAAGCCCCCAGGTCCGGCTTTGGGAGGCACTGAGGATCCCAATTGTAACCAGAGACAAAGAGAGCCAGTGTTTGTGCACAACATGCTGCTCCGACAGCCCATGCCTGCAGATGCAGAAGCTGCACCGGGATGACCATGCCACAGGGTCCTGCGATCTCCGGGATCCAGGGGCAGGATCCTAGCCGCAGGCATCACCCCAGCTCCCAGCTGCAGCACCAGAGGGTGAGGGCTGCCTCGCGCCACGGGGATTCAGGGAGAGATGAGCAGAGGAGCCCTCACAGGGACCCAGGACAGGATGCGGGCAGGGAGTGGGGCGGGGGGAGTGGGGGCGGGGCAGCTGAGCCAGCCCCACATCTCCTGTGGGCGCAGCACAGGCACGAGAGCGTCCCAAGGTGGGAGTCCCAGGCAGGGTATCCCAGCCCTGCTTCGTGCTTGCAGGCTCTCTGCGCTCGGGGTTTCTCTGTGTACAGAACAACCGACTGTGGCCTCTGCGGTGGCTGCATTCAAATGAAAGCTGCTTCCATAGCACTGGCCAGGGCACCCGTCACCGTGCCACTGCCTGCCGTGAGGACATCTGTGTGAAGAACCTCCGCTCCCCCCCGCTCTGCCTCAAACCTGCCGTTTTAGGACCCTTAATTTCCACCCCGCCTCGCCGGAGGTTTTTCGGGCTGTGGCTCTGCCAGAGCCCGGCCAGGCATCCCCCAGCTCTGGGGCTGCTGGTTTGGGGCTCAGTTCCCCAGTTTAGCAGGGGTTTGGGGCCCAGAGCAGTGCCCAGCTCCCTGAAGGAACTTGAAGGTTGATGTTTTGAACCCCGCACTGGGGCCAAAGTGACTCCACCTCCGCACTGAGGAGGGGGTTTCATGTCTTGAGGCTTTGGGTAGCTTCACTTTGGGCACCCCCCTGCTCCTCCACTATCTCTGGAGGCCCTGACATCCCTCCCTGGCCCCGATGTGCCCGGCACATCGCTGTGGGAACTGCAGGGTGGCAGCAGGGACAAAGACATCAGGGGGGTACAGGGACTTCCCCTCCCCAAGCAGGGACCCGCCACCTCCAGGAGACCCTGAATGCGGCATCGCAGCGCGACACACTCCGGACGGATGACAACGGGGCTGGCGGCTGCTCCAAGCACCCGTCACTAAGGGTGGGCAACGCACCTCTGCGGGTGCGAGGTCCCGCTACAGCATCTCGGAGGAAATCTCTCGCTCAGGTTGTGCCGTGCTGGATACGGCATCTCCATGGAAACCCTCCCGCTCCGGCGGTGCGGGCTCGGGAGATGCCATCTCCACGGAAACGCGGCTGCGGCGGACGCCGGGATGCGCTGCCCGGGCACCGGGTGACACCGCAAGGAGGGTCGGGGGTGTCCGGACACCCACGGCCGGGCCCACCGAGGAGGCTGAAGGGGATCCGACGGAGCAGGGTCGGAGCACAGGCCACCCTTGTCCCGGCACAGGGGGAAGGAGGCCCCGGGAAATCGGGAATGGGGCGGTCCCATGCCTAAACCACCAGCGCAGACCTGCCTGCCCTGCCCCACTCTCGTGCTGTGCCATTCAGAGCCTCCCTCCACCGTTGTGGGTTTTTCCTGGGAGGGGTGTCACCTCCTCTCCTCTCTTCTCTCCCACCCCGGGGCTCAGCCAGGCCCGTTCCGGGGAGGACCATTCTCTACGCTACAGGGGATGGGAGTGATCAGGGAGACGGAACCCCCTGCTCCCAGCGAGGAAGGGGGGAAGAGCCCCCTATCCCGGGCTGGCCTGGGGATGGCCCTGGCGCTCGCACCCCCGTCCCGCGGCACGGGAAGAGATTTCACGCTCAGAACTGGCCCAGGCAAAATATTTTACAGGTTATTTATAGCCTGCATTAAAAAAACGCGAGCCCAACGCCAACACGAAGAACCAGCCACTAAAACCCTTCGTTTGTTGATTGCAATCGCGCCTTTTGCTTTCATTCAGCTCCCGCCAGCCCCGCTCGGTGCTCGGAGCTCCCGCGGAAGCGGGCACCGGCTCTGCCCGCCGGGGACCCTGCGCTCAGGGAGAGGCCGGGCCTCGCTCCCGCTCCGGCGCGTGCGGGCGCGCCGGGATTAGCCCCGCTCCGGCTTTGACGTAGCCCCGAAAGTAGGGCAGGGAAAGCGGCCGGCGGCGCGCGCGGCCGGGGAGCACCCCGGGAACACCGGCAGCGGGGGGGGGGGGGAGGGTCTGCTCCCGGCACCCACCGGCCCGGGCGGGACCACGCCACGGGAGGGACAAGGATCAGCCCGGTTCCACCCCTGCGAGGGACTCCGCAGCCCTGGGGCTGCCCGTCCGCATCCCCAGCACTCTCCTGCCTCCAGCCGCCTGCAAACCTGGGACTGCGTCTTCATCAAACCCCCAGCGCTGATACTCCTCGCCCAGAGGGTGCCCCTGCTGTACCCATGTCCCTCTAACATACCCACAGCAACTACACTGGGACTTCCTGCACTTATGGGTGGATGGAGACGAGATCTCGGGAAGAAGCACTTTCCCTGGCAGCGTTCAAGGCCAGCGTTGGACAGGGTTTGAAGCAACCTGCTCTAGTGGAAGGCATCCCTGCCTGTAGCCGGGGCTGGAACTGGGTGGGCTTTAAGCTCCTTCCCTCCCACTCCAGTCTGTGGTTCTGTGATGCTACGGTACTGGAAGTCCCAGTTCAAACCGAATCCAGCCCAGTGCTGGGCATCCAGGGCTATCATACCCAGCAGGCACAATCCAGGGCTGGGAAGCAGGGAGAGCCCCGGGTTGGGCAGATGAGGGAGGCATCCACAAAGAGGGACAGGGACAGCAGCGCTACAGGGGTCTGGCAACCCAGGGCCACAGGGAGCTGCAGGGAGGTGGAGGTGTAGGCAGAGCGGCTGCGCTCACCCCAGGCCAGGCCCAGCCTCTGGGGCACTTCAGCTTTTACTAAACCAAACAGACCCATCCTTGTACCTCTAAGAGCCCGAGGGGCTGGGGCAAAGGGTTCCCATGGCCATTGGTGCAGGCAGGGCAGAGGGAATCCAGGCACCAAGCTGCGACCTTACCCATGTGTGACATGGAAGGGTTCTCCAGTGTCACATGGAAATGCTCTGTGCTTCCTCTCCTCTTTTCTCTCCAGCCCAGCCTGCATTCACACTGTGCAGCACGAGTGCAGCCCTATGCTATCTGGGCACCCCAGGGACTCTCTGGGGCTGGTGACACCCAGGCCGAGTCCCTGGCAAGGGCACAGCTCCAGCAGAGGTGACACCGCAGCAGCCACCACCCCAGGAAGGGTGCCAGCACCCAGAGCAGGAGCCCTGCACTGTTTTGGGGTTAGAATACAGGAGTTACAGGGCACACACCCTCAACCCCGTGGATGCCTGTGCCCCAGTCCCACTGGATGGCACCTGGGTGCCCTGGCTGCAGGCAGAAGGGTGAGTGCAGCAGCTCTGCCCCAGCCCCAGGGGACAGAGAGCAGCCTAGGGACCCCGCACGGCTGAACCCCAAGGGAAGGCTGCAGTGCCAGTGCAGGGTATGGCAGCACCCCTGGGATGAGGAACACTAATTCCTGGGAACAGCAGCCCCTTCAGCTTCCTTGTTCAGGCAGGGAAGCATTCCCCTGACTGGCATGAGCACAGCGCAGATAAGAGGGAGGAGAGGACTGAGGGGATCCCTGTCCCACCATGAGGCTCCAGCACTGGACACACCAAGCACCCCGCAGTCACCCTTTGCAGGGTGCAGTGGGCCAAGAAGCCTGGCTCAGCAGAAGGAAGAGGGCAGGGTGGCTAGGTGAAACCACCTCAGAGCCCTATATTCCAGCTCAAGGGATTCACCAGAGTGTGGCAAAAGTTACTTCAGAACCGCTGGTGGACACAAGGAGCGGTGCCCCATGGCTGGGCTCAGCACAGCCAGGCTGGGAGAAAACCCCTTTAGCCGAGATCAAAAAACATTGTTATATATACAAAAAATGGAGGTATGAAAGACAGGAGCCCCAGGGCAGGGGAGCCCCAGCACTGAGTTCACCTCTGCTCCTGCTCCCAGCCCAGGGCAGCAGCTCCAGGCCCCCTCAAGAGCACATGCCATGCAGGAGGGCACAGAACAGCCTGCATGCAGCTACAGCCCTGTCCTGCCGCGGCGCCGGCCTGGCTGTACCCTCAGCTCCGGCACCAGCTCCAGGGCAGGCCTGGCTGCGGCAGGAACATCCTCAGCAGAGATGGGCTGGATGATGTGGCCGCTGCGGGTGATGACACGGGGCGCTGTCAGCTTCTGGAAGGCACGCTGCGTGTTCCACGTGGCTCCCACGGGCGTTCGAATGCTCTGCTCAAACTGCTGGTGCCGCTCAAAGGGGAAGGGCAGCTCGCTGACCTGGGGGGAGTGGCACAGCAGGGTCACCCCCTGCCAGCACCCCGGAGGCTGCTCCCACCACATGCTGCTGCTGGCTCCCGCTCACACCATCCCTTGCCCCGCTGACCCCTGGTTCCACCCCTTATGCCAGTAGATTCCAAGGGCTGGCACAGCCAAGAGCAGTCCTGGGAATTTCTCTTCCCTCCATCATCCTGCTGGCTTCTAGGCTGCCAAAGCTGGAGGCTCAGTGCCTGGGCAGGGAGCACAGGCAGGAACAGGGGATGTTTTGGGAATGGGTCACAGGAATGCTCCGGAGTGCACACAGAGGCTGCACATCACCCACCTGATGTGCTGCTGCGTAGATGTTACGCTTTTCACTCATGATGACGTGGGGCAAGTGCTGGTCCTTCCTGGGAGGCGCTGGTGGCGGCTTGAGCAGGAACCTGCAGGACACACACATGATCAGCCCTGGGGCCAGGCTGGGGCACATGCATGGTAAGCCCCAGGGGTTCACACTCACCGCTTTATCTTCCTGGCGCTGGGCTTCAGGCCTGAGCCCCCCCACTCGCCCCAGCCGGGCAGCACCAGGTTCACTGGCTGTGGCTTCGCATCCTGCTCCGCCTTGCGCTTCTCCCGGCGGAAGTCAGCGACCACGTCATCCCCGGCAAAGGCCTCGGTGATCACCCCGCGCTGGTCGATGCCTCCCTCCTGTGGAGAGCAGGGTCAGCCCCTGCAGCCAGCCTGGCTGCGGGACAAGGGGCTGGTGGGTCCCGCTCACCTCCTCCTCCAGCAGCACCGGCAGGCTAGGGCACCGAGCCTCCTGCGCCCGCCCCTCCAGCACTGCCTGCAGGCTGATCAGCTGCTTCTGGGATGCTGGCTTCCTGGCAGGCCTGGCCCCAGCTCTGCCCTCCTCTGGCTGCCGCTGTGCTCCCATCTCTGCTCCTGCGGCTGCTGGCTGCTGTGCTCCCGCTCCTGTGATCGCTTGCTGCTGCTCTCTTGCCTCTGCTGCTGCTGCCACCAGCTGCTGTGCTCCTGTCCTTGCTCTTGCAGTCGCTTGCTGCCATGCTCTCGCCTTTGCTCCTGCGACCACCGGCTGCTGCACTCCCATCTCTCCTCCTCCAGCCACCGGCTCCTCCAGCTCCTCCACTCCCATCTCTCCTCCTCCAGCCACCGGCTCCTCCACACGCTCCTCTGAAGCCAGAGCCTCAACATCCTCCATTGTTCGTGCTCGGCCCAGCTGCTGCAAGAGCAGAACTTCCTCCTGGGCATCAGTGGGCAGCTCATTCCCTGCACTCACCTCTGCCTCTCTGCAGATGAGGGGGATGGGGATGTCCCCCGGAGGTTCAGAAACTGCCTCTGTCACATCAGCATCTGCACATTGAGGCAACAGGTGAGAAACAGTCACCCATGAGGAGGAAAGAGTGAAGCCAGGCAGAAAACAGCCCTGGCACCCCTCTTTCCCTTGCCCAGCCCTGAAGCAGCACACCAGTCCCTCCCTGCCTGGGGCTGCAAGCTCCTCACCTTGTCCTGCAGGGCTCCCTGCCTGCTGCTGCCGCAGGTGCCGCTTCTGTGCGAAGTCCTGTAGCAGAGCTTCCTCCTCTGACATCTCCTCTTCATCCTCCTCCATCTCCTCCTTGATCTCTGCAGCACCAGGCTCTAATATGTCTCCCTGACCCTCCTGTGTCTCTGGCTCCTTGGCTGGGCTGCTGGGTTTGCCCAACAGCCAGGGATTTGCTCTGCTGGCACCCGTGGGGATGGTAGGAATGGTCACCAATGTGAGGTCCTCCTCAGGCACATCATCTGGCTTCTCCTCAGGCAGCTCCACACGCACCTTCTGCATCAGCTCCTTGTTCTTGGCCAGCTGCTCCTGCATGGCCTTGCGAGCCTGGGAGGGGGATTGAGAGGTTTCTGAGGCAGGGCAGAAACAACGCACCCGCCCCACCTCAGCTGCCTCCCCCTTCCCTAAACCAGCACTGGAAACGTTGCTGCGGCCTTTCAGTGTATAATGGTGGTTTATAAGGAAGAGAGAGACTTTATACCAAGGTCTACAGGGACAGGACAAGGGGCAACTGCTTTAAACTAGAAGAGGCCAGATTTTGGTTAGATACAAAGAAGAAAGTAGAAACAAGTTGTATGATGAGGGTGGTGAGGCGCTGGCACAGGGTGCCCAGAGAAGCTGTGGCTGCCCCATCACTGGCAGTGTTCAAGGCCAGGTTGGACAGGGCTCGAAACAACCTGCTCTAGTGGAAGGTGTCTGGCAGGGGGTTGGAACTGGATGATCTTTAAGGTCCCTTCCAACCCAAACTCGTCTGTGGTTCTGCGATCTCACCTCTAGGTCATACTTGGCTATAATGGCCCTGGAGCGGGCCCACTTCCCCTTGTTCTGGTGCTTAAGGCTCATTCGCTCCTGGGGGGACAAACGAGAGAAGCATCAGAACAAGCACCCTCATGAGCGGGGATGTCCCACGCGGTGGGGGACAAGCACAAAATTAGCACCTGCATCCTGAGCTGCTCCAGCTCCTCCAGCTTCGCCAAGGCAGCCTCCGGGTCTGACTTCTGCAGCAGCTCAAACTCCTTTAAGGCCTTTCGCCTCTTGCTTTTCTTCAGCATGCGATGGTACCTGAGCACAGAGGCAGTGAGGCCTCGGGTGCCAGGGAGGCCCTGGGGACCCCGTGTTTTGGCCATACCCCCGCACCAGGCAGACTCAGCCCTCTCCAAGGGATCTTACTTCTTGCTCTTGATCTTCTTCTCTCGACGAGCCTTGGCTTCGTAGTAGGACTGCACAACCCGAGCCTTCTGCAGCTCTGCCCGCCGCTGCCGGGCCTGCCAGAGAGCAGAGTGAGGGCGAGCACCAAGGAAGAGGCCTCAAGAGCCGGGGCATGGACGGGGGGGGCACCCACCTCCTCCAAGCTCATTGCCTGCAGCGAGGCTGCCTCCTCTGGCGTCAGGAGCGGATCTGTGATGGGCTGCTTCGTCTTGTGGAGCAGCCCAAAGATCTCCTGCTCCAGGGGAGTTCGGGCCTGTTGGAACACAGCAGACCCAGCACGATGCTGGTGATGAGAAGAATCACGAGAGGCAATGCTCCTCTAGATGCCCCTGTCCTGGTGCCCCTGAGCAGGTAAACAGGAGGGCCCAGAGAAGTGTGGCCCCTCCTCCTGGGACTGAGGTCATGGCCCTGGCTAGGGTCATAGGCAGCAGCCCCTGGCTTGCTCCGGGGAGGGCAGAATTCCTCGCAGGGAGAGGAGGAGGCTCACAACAGGCAGGCAGCATTGGCCAGGTAGCTCTGGGCATGAAGCACAGAGCAGTTTCCCTGGCCACACAAAATCATGTCCTGCCAAAACAGAAAGGGACCTTTGGGCAGGGTGAGGCGAGCTGGCTGGGAGCTCAGCAGCGGCTGCCTCTCACCACAGCACCTGTACAGCTGGGAGAGCTCTCGGGGAAGGCAGTGACTCACCTGCCAGCAGCACAACCCTCATGGGAATTCATGTTCAAAATCAAAAACATCATTGTTTTGTAATTTTACAAGATTTACAATAAGGAGGTCCAGGGTTTGCCAAACTGGACCCCGTCTACCTCAGCACATGAGGCCAAGGGCTACAAGCAGACACATGGCTCACCACAGGGACCAAAAACCTGCACACTCAGCAAGCGTGACTCAAGCTGAAAGGCTAAGAAGAAAGGTACAGAGCACGCTCAAAACCTTTTGCCTGTGCCTTAGCCAGCCCCTCCCAGAGGCTCGGCTGTGCATGAGGAAGGTGGAGTACTTCCATGTGAATCTTCCCCAGCTCAGCCCGTGCCTGCCCAGAGCCTCAGCGACAGGCTGGGCCTTCCCCATGCCTACCTCACTCCTCCTCACACAACCAGGAGCTGTGCCACCAAGCCCAGGAGCTGCATGACACAAAGCAGCACCCACCTTCCAGGCTGAAGTCACCTGCTCCAGGGGCACAACTGCAGCAATGTCCTGCTTGAGCGGGAACACCAGCTGCTCAGCGCGCCGGTTCTGCAGCACAATCTGTTGCCACTTGCCCACATCTTTGGAAGTTGTGAGGTAGGCAGCTTCCCTCACGACCTGCAGATGGGTGGGAAGGGAAGCAGGTGAGCAAAGGAGGCCTGAGGCAAAGAACAAGAGCCTGTTGGCATCAGAGAGTAGCAGAAGGCACTCAAAGGCCCACTCACCCGCTTGGCCTCCTCCTTGCTGAGCGGCAGCTCCACCGCTGCCTTCTGCTTCACTCGGGTCAGCTCATTCTTCACGCTGCTCAGGGCGGATTTGGGGCGGATGGGCTGCAGGAGCTCTGACAGAACCAGCTTCTCCCCAGCCCCTGCATGAGGTCCCACATGTCAGCTCAGGTACAGCGCTGCTGACCCGAGAGGCTGCTGGTGCATTCAGCCAGAAAGCCCCAGGGTGGCTGCAGCCAACCTCGGCCCCCACGGGTCTCACCTTTGGTGCTGACATTAAACTCGGACACCTGCACACTGGCCTCCGTGCGCTCTGCCAGCCTCCGCCTGCGACACGGGAGAACAAATCAACCAAAGGCACGTCCCCCCGAGTGCTTCTCCCTCCCACAGGAGCTGAGCTGCTTCTCCAGAGCTTCCCTGCTCAGCACCGCAGGGGCCACGGCGAGGAAACGCGGCTGCTGCCAAAACCCCAGGGCCAAGCCACAGCAGCGCCCCGGACCCCATCACTCACCGTTTCCGTCCGGACAGGGAGCTGACCGCCTCCAGGAGCTGCCGGTGCCGCCGCTCGCCGTCCTCCCGCCGCTGCCACGAGGCAGACACAGTTACAGATCCCGGCCCAGCTCACCCCAGAGACCCAGCAGGCGCTGCCGGGAGCGGCGCCCGCTCCCTGGTGCCCCGCCACCTCCCGGCCGAGCCCCGAGCCCCAGCCTGCGCCCTTCCGGCCGGGCCGGGCCGGGCCGGGCCGGACCGGGCCACCCTCTGCCGCAGCGGGGGGACCCATCCCCGAGGCCTCGCCTCACCCGGACCTCTCCTTCCCTTCTCCTTCCCTTCCCTTCCCCTCACCTCATCCTCATCCTCATCTTCGTTCTCGCTCGCGGCCGCCTCCACCCCCAGCCACTCCTCCGACATCGCACCGTACCGCACAGCACCGCACGCCACGCTAGCCGTAAAGCACCGCGCCGCGTAGTACTACTCCCCGCACGACCTGCCGGAAAGCGCACCGCTTCCGCCCGGCCTGCCGCAACCCGCCACGCTTCCGCCCGCCGGATGGCTCTGACGTCACGGTTGCCGTGGCAGCGGGGCCGAGGGTGGGGGGGACGGGCCGGCTCCGCGGCTCTCGGGGTGCGGGTCGGACCCGGGCTCCGCACGGAGACGGGCTGCTCCTGTCCTCATGGCAACGGCCGCAGGAGGACCATGCCCCCATTGGGCGCGCCACTCCCTGCCCTCACCGGCAAACCCCCAGGCAGCACAGCGGAAAAACGGGGCCGCGGCAGCGACATGCGGAGGGGACGGGCCACGACACGACACGACACGACACGACACGACACGACACGTGCCGAGCCCCGCCCCCGGTCCCGCCTCCCCTTGTCCGCACCGGGGCGGGGCGGAGGGACGAGACTGCGGAGTGACGTGTGGTACAGCCAATGGGAGTGAAGGGGCGGGACGGATGGCGCTGACAGACCAATGGGCGGTGCGGCCCCGCCCCCGCAGAGGCGCGAGGCGTGGCGGCCCCTCCCGCCGCGCTGAGGGAGCGAGCGGCGCGGCCCGGCCCGGCCCGCGCGGCGCTGCCAGCACCGGCACAGGGTGAGCGGCGGCGGGGCCCCCTCTTCCCCTCCCTCCCTCCTTCCCTTCCTCCCTTCCTTCCTTCCACAAGCCCGGACTCCGGCGCCGCCGCGGGGTGGGCGCTACTTGCCCAGCCCAGCTCCGTCCCCTCCCCTCCCGGTGGGGCCGGTGCGGGGCCGCTCCGCCGCTCCCCCTTACCGGGCGCTTCTCTCGGGGCCGAGGCCTTCCGCGGCCGCGCCCTGCCCGCTCCCTTCCCGGTGGGTTTCCATGGCGACGCACCTCCCGGGGCTCGGGGGTTTCCATAGCGACGGCCGCCGCCCCCCGCCGCGGAGCCCCGCTGCCGCCCCAGTGCTGAGGCGCTTTCCTCTCCCCGCAGCGCCCAGCGCAGCCCCGCGGGGCCCCCGATGATGCCGGGGGCGCGGGCGGCGGAGCAGCAGCGCCCGGACCCGGAGTTGTGGCGGCCGCCGCCGCCCTAGTGACGGCCCCGCCATGTCGGTGATGGTGGCGAGGAAGAAGGTGGTTCGGAAATGGGAGAAGCTGCCGGGCAGGAACACCTTCTGCTGCGACGGCCGCATCATGATGGCCCGGCAGAAGGGCATCTTCTACCTGACGCTCTTTCTCATTCTCGGCACCTGCGCCCTCTTCTTCGCCTTTGAGTGAGTTCCCCGCAGCCGCTCGGTGGCTCCCCGGGTCAGGAGGGGGTCGGTGGCCGCCGGTGGCCTCGGGAGCGGGGGGTGGGGGTAGAGCGAAGGCGGCACGGAGCCCGGCGCGGTGCGGCTCTCCCTGGCGGGATCTGCCTCTCACAGCCACCTGGAGGTCTGGGGACGCTGGGCCCTGGCAGAGCTCGCCCTGCAGCACGACACTGGCCCTTCACCGCCTTGCTTGTGCTTCCCTGTGCTTTGGGACTTGTCATCCCGTGTCCGGAGCACTGCAATGGGGATGGGGATTGGGGTGCGTACTCCTTGCCTGGGGTGCAAGGGCATTGCTGCTGCAGCACCAGAGGCCAGCATGAGCTGGTGGTGGGGCAGAGCCTGCTCCCGTGCACCCTGGGCCTGTGTACAGCCTTGCTAAGCCCAGTGAGGGAAGTGACCTGGCTGGAGAGCTAACCAAAAATGGATGTGCCTGGTGGCACTGGTCCCTAGCACAGATCCAGCTCACCCTTCAGCTGTCTGTATTGTGTTGTGGTGCTGCACGACAGCAGACCCTCCATGAGCCAAAGCCCTAGAGGGGATTCGGCCACCCTCTTCAATCAGCACAGCAGCCTAAAGGCCTGCAGCAAGTTGTGTGTCCTGCCAAAGAGTAGGGACTGGCGCCATAGCCCTGTGAGCCCAGCTGGGAGTGACCCGGCCTCAGACTAATCCTGCCAAAACAGCAAGCAGAAAGGGAAGAAAAGCTCACTCACATTTGCCTGAGCTCGGGGGGGGGGGGGCAGGCAGCAGGACTGCTCTGTTTGCCTGGGTTTAGGGTGAGCTTGGATCAGCCACACAACTGTGAAATGTTCCTTTCTCTGTCTCCATCAGCATGTGTATGTTGTTCCTAGGGAGGCAAAGGTCTTGACTGGTGTTGGGTAACACAAAAGCCAGTTAAGCCAGGACAAGCAAGCGGAAGAAACTGCTTCCACTGATTAAGTCCTGGATATTGCTCCACATACCTAAAGCTCTGGGCCCAGGCACTGGCCTCCTGGGCATCTTCCCCAGAGCAGGGACCTTGTCCCAGCTCCCTCTGGCCTGGCATTGCTCTCCCTCACTCCTCTCCTTAGTGGATATTGCCACCATCCTTGGAAAGAGCTTTCTGTAACAGTCTGCTGAGGTTTGCTGTGTCCCAGTGGCAGCAATGCAGCAGCAAACACCATGCCCAGGTCAGCTACAGAGCTGATTTCTTTGCTTGGTGGTCGTGCAGCAATGGAGGCAGGTGCTGCACAACTGTAACACGAGGTGTTGTGGTTCTCAAGCACAGGAAGCTCAAATTATCCCTGACTCAGTCTGAAGCCAAAGGTATGAAATGACACTGCTGCTTGTTTTGTTGTTTGTTTTTTCCCCATCTCAAAAATGGGGCTTAAACTTGCTGCCTTCAGGGAGGGCTGGTAGTATCACTGCTCCAGAAACACGTGTCTCTGCTCCAGAAACACTTACCATGAGGGATAATTGCTCTTGTTCCCTGTGGAGCCTGTCCTGAGCAGAAGAGAGAAGCCACAGCCCACTCTCTGCTGCCTTTACAGTCCCAGGCTGTGCTGGCAGAGCCAGCGGTGCTGTGGGTGCTGCAGGTACGTGACTGGGAATTCCTTGGGAAGCCTCTTCCCGTGCTGCTCGAGGCAGAGGCCCATGGAGGGGTCACTCATGTCCTTGCTCACAGTGAGACCTCCGGAATATGCCTCTGTGTCGAGCCAGGGGGACGGTCTCTGTGGGGTCACCAGCCTGGGGGCAGTTTTGCTGGGAGCAGAATTCCCTCTGAACTGTGGTTAAATTGGCTTAGTGGCTTTCAATTAGGAAAAGTTTGGGAAATGCCAAAATATCTGTTTGATTCTCTCATAGCTCAACACTTCAGTGTTTTCTGTCTGAAAGAGGCGTGTTTGTTTTGAAACTGTTTGGGATTTCTGAATTTGGGATAGGAATGAAACATAACATTGCCAGCCAGAAACCCTGCTCTGTTTCACAGACCCAGCTGAGGTGATGAGCAGCTGCCCTTCTGCGTGCATCGGAGTGCTTGGCCTTGACCTTCTGTCTGTGTTGTCCATTCATTTCAGCTTCTGGCAGGTTCTTTGGTGTTTGCATGGAATTTCATGCTTTTCTCCTTAAAGTCTGTGCTGCAGAGGAACAATCGGAGCTGTTGGGCTCTGTGGAGAGCAGCAGACTTGCTGGTGTCCTGTGTGCTCGCTGCAGGGAGCCTGTGCTGTGGGCTCCCGTTTCATTCAGCTGAATCATTTGCGCAGTCACACCTTGTCTGAACAGGGCCGGGGATGCCTGAAGCCAGCAAGTGCCTCTGGCTGAGAGCAGAGCCCTCCAGGCTGCTCTGGTGTGCGGTGCAGTGTGTGGTGACAGGTGCAGAGTGCGGTGCCTGGTGCAGGAGAGCCGGTGGTGGCCAGCACCACACGTCACGAGATAAGCAGAGCCCGCGGCAGCCACTCTGAGCCGTGCTCATGGTGTTTGTATTTTGAGTCCGCTGCACATCTGTTCCTCTGCCGTGTCTCCAGTCAAGTGGTCTGAAGCCACCTCAGCCCTGTGGGCAGAGTTTGTGTGTTTTTATCCCCTAGACTCCAGAGCTGTGGGCTGGAATGGGGAAAGTTTCCAGCCGGGAGCAAAAAGACCCAGAGGGCTTCCTGCACTCTCAGTGTTGTACCTGGAGCTCCAGCTCCTCCCTCCCTCCCTCCCAGATAAACCAGAGGGCTGTGGAGCTGTGCTGGCTCCCGGGAAGGGCTCTGCAGCGACTGGAGTCCTCTGCCCAAGGGCACCTCTCGCCAGCACCTTGGCAGAAAGCAGCTCCTCCTGCTCCAGGGCTGAGGCTGGTCCCTGCAGTGTCCGAGCCCTGTATTTCGTTGGGTCTGCTCCATATCCGTAACGTGTCACATAAAACTCGTTTAATATCCTCTTGGCACTCTTTCAGACTCTTAATGGGCACGTCAGCCTTTGCAACAGGGCGTGTAGTTGTCTAACTCTGCTTGTGGTATTGGAGCACGAGGAGAAGCCCAGGTAAAGCGCTCATGAAGCCCCTTTGGGAGCTGGCATGATGGGATGTGCAGCCTCTCTGGCTGCTGGGATCTCCTCTCTGCAGTTTGCCAGCATGGGCCCTTCCGAAGTTCTTGCTCAGCGCGGCGGCGGCTGCAGAACAACGGCGTTTCTTTTGTCTCCAGCTCGGCAGCAGGACGCTGCTGCTGGTAAACGCTCCGGTGTTGGCAGCACCGGGCTCCCGCAGGGAGGGGAAGGGGCTCTTCACTCTCCAGTAACAGCCTCTGTATCATGTTACTGTTTTCTACTTAGCTACGTAGAGATTAGAATTTCTTTGGTTTCTGACAAGTTGAAATAACCTGTGCTGACCCTTTGTGATTTAATTCTTGGGTTTCTCCCTCCAAACCCCAAAGACCCCAGATTTTACACTGATAAAGATGCTTTCAAAATGGCTTTTACCTCTGGTTAGGTCAATGTCAAGCACTGTCAAAGCTTGCACCTAAGTCACTCTGTGCTTTTTGGCAGTTGTAGCCTCTTGGTAGAGGTGAACCTCAGAGTTCAGCTTGCCTTGCTCCTGAAGGCATGGTTCTGCTTGAGGTGTGTTTAGAATGGCATGCCCTGTTTCTCATACATGGGCTCCTTTCCAGGAGACAACTTACCTCTCCCTGTGGTGTGCACGTCCTCCGGAGCACCACCTCTC